CTGGTGATCTGTTTCACCCTAGATAATATACATGTTTCAATGCTGTTCTCTTGAAACATCCCACCCTCGCCTTCTCCCAGAGTCCACAAGTCTGTTCTATACATCTGAGTCTCTTTTTCTGTTTTGTATATAGGGTTATTGTTACCATCTTTCTAAAGTCCATATATATGTGTTAGTATACTGTAATGGTCTTTATTTAAAAAAAATTTTTTTTTATTTTCTGACAGTTCATGAGACTATACATCCTTCCTCTATTCCTTCTGCCAGACATCTGGGAAGCAGATAAAGAGCAGTCCTCCAACCATTAAAGCTTCTGCATGGAAAAATCTCACCCTGTATTAACTACCTAATCCTCATAAAAATGCCAACCCAGACTCCTTGTCCCACTGTCTCAGGTCATTTAAAACATCTTTAGGAAATGCGCTTTATATTGGAGTTTCACATTCTTAATAAGGTGATTAAATAATCACTCCATCTGAAATATTCTTTATGTTGCATATATTGATGTTTTTATATAGTTCTATAGCTCATTTAAAAAATATTTAGTGGAATTTAAATGCAACAGTAATTTTTTACCTTACATCTTACAGTTAAAATATATGTTTTATTTTCTCTATGAACTTTGCTGATATATATGCATGTATTACAAGATTTTAATTGATGCCTTGTAAAGCTTTGGTGCAACAAAAATGTTTGTAGGTTTATCTTCAAAGGGTTTTAATATATTTTTTATAAAAAAGAAAATTTTATTAAATTAAAAAATGAAAATTTGAATGTAAAATTATCCCTAGATACAATTGATGCTTACAAACTTTACCTAATATATCCATGAATAATATTTCTTTTTGCTAAAACAGAATTGATCAGGATTACTTTTATTCCAGGTTTTAAAAATAAATACTGATTAATTTTCTAAATTTCTTCTATTATATAGCATTGGTAGCCTAATGGTCTTTTATTGAAAGATATTTTTAATAATTTATGGAAGAACATTCTTATTATGTCTTTTTTCTGCTGTTTTCAAAAAGAAATGATGTGAAATCTACTGAATGTGTAAAAAAAAAAATCACTGCCTATCATTAACTTTTAACTTTTAAGTTTGTGAAAAATTTATCACAGTAGACTTTTCCAGTTATTATCAAATGATTGTCAATTATAATTGCTTACCTATTACTTATAAACACTTTGACTTTCTATATTAACAAATCTAGAGAAAATAAAAATACTATTTATTTCAATCACTCTGTTCAGATTTTTTTAATTAAATCCTCTTAGCCTGTAACACACTTTAGCTCTCTATGTATCTATCCCTCTATTTACTTAATCTTGAAAAGATGTGAAGTTTACAGATTTCACTCATTCTATTTAGGAAGCTGTGATAAAATTTATCTGAGAAAAATAGGACCTATGCTACCAGAAGATGATCTAAAAGTACTTTCCCCCATTCCTCTCACTTATTGCAACTAAAAAGTGGGCATTAAACACAAAAGTTACAGAAGAGGTCTCTGGGATCAACATAGACCCTCTCTCAACAAAAAATAAATAAACAAAGCCCTGCTCCTTCTAGTTGAAGGACAAGGAAACAGGCAGCCTGGAAAAAAAAAAAGAAAAATTTTAGAGAATAAACTTTCTACTACATTTAAATACCACAGAAAATACTCTGACACCAACTGCATCTCTGTCAAAAAAAAAAAGGCCAAGTGGGGCACTTGAAGTTTTACTGTTTTGACAGGATGTCCTAACATCTTCCCTGGGATGATGTCTGAGAAGGGTGAGTATGAGCTAGGCTCCCTGAAGGCAGGTTGAGAACTTGCCTCTTTGCTGAGTGAACACTAACAATGAAAAACCCAAAGAAATTCACACAAAGACACAAAGTGTCAAACTTTTGAAGACTAAAGACAAAGAACAAATCTTGAGATCAGTGAGGGAAAAAAAAAATGACATTTTACCTATGAGGAGGAATAATTTGAGGAACAACAGATTTTTTCATCAGAAACAGAAGGAAATGTGTTACAGAAAAATGAACATCTTTGCCAGCTGATGGGTGGTATGAGTTTTCAAGATTCCATATTTCTGAGCACTTAACACAAGCACCTAATTTTCCAGAGTAAGCATAAACTTAGCATTATTTAAACATCCAAAGAGCTGCTGCAAAAGATCTACTACTAATAATCATCTTATTTCAAGGTTTTGTTTTAAACTATCTCAATTTTCTTTTTATTGATATAATGAGGAAACTGCTCCTTTGCCGGGATCCCAGTGTGCACAAGGTTTTGTTTGTGCCCTCTGAGCATCTCTGGTAGGTCTGAGGTTTGATTCTAAATGTGATTTCACCCCTCCTACCATTTTGTTGTGGTTTCTCATTTGCCCTTGGACACAGGGTACCTTTTCTTGGTGGGATCCAACATTCTCCTGTTGATGGTTGTTCAGCAGCTAGTTGTGATTTTGGTGTTCTTGCAGGAGAAGATGAGTGTGCATCCTTCTACTTCACCATCTTCTTCACTCCTAAAACAATTTTTTATTATATTGTTTTTAAATTTTACTCTGGCTCCCCCATTATACCCTCCAGTCACTTTGATAGTGTGCCTTTAGCCAAATTGGCTGAAGCCAGATATCTGCCTTGTGGTTTCATGGTTGAAGTGAAAACATAGTCAACAAAAGAGTACAAAATACAGCACTTGGGTGCAGTCTCAAAAATGACAGAATGATCTCTGTCCTTTTCCAAGGCAAAACATACAATATCACAGTAATCCAAGTCTATGCCCCAACCACTAATGCCAAAGAAGCGGAAGTTGAATGGTTCTATGATGACCTACACGACTTTCTAGAATTAACACCAAAAAAATCTTTTTTATCAGAGGGGACTGGAATACAAAAGTAGGAAGTCATGAGATACTTGGAGTAGCAAGCAAGTTTGACCTTGGAGTACAAAATGAAGCAGGGCAAAGGCTAACAGAGTTTTGCCAAGAGAATGCACTGGTCATAGCAAACACCCGTGGCAGTTTTGCACTGAACAATTCTCACAAACACACAGTATTATGAGAGACAGTGCAGAGAGCTCACAGAGAACCAACTACCAGAGAAAACGCTGAGCACTTATTTTATTGATAACTTACCTTGTAATCTTTAAGGGCAGTAAAGCAACATGGAGACCAGAATTCTAGGATTAAGGAAGCTTCCTCCAGGAGATCTGGAGGTAATCACACGAGAATCATAAAGAAAGATCTTTGAAGATAAGGGGATTTTCCTGCATGCAGAACAGTATCTATTTTGGGCTTCCCTGTGGCTCAGCTGGTAAAGAATTCACCTGTAGTGTCGAAGACCTGGGTTTGATCCCTGGGTTGGGAAGATCCGTTGGAGAAGGGAAAGGCTACCCACTGCAGTATTCTGGCCTGGATAATTCCATGGATTGCATAGTCTATGGGGTCACAAAGAGTCACAACTTTTTGCTTGAGCGATTTTCACTTCACAATGCTGACGTGTCAGCCAGAACATCTAACTTAAGGGCAGGGGAGAGAGCAAGCAAGGGAGAATGAGTAAGATTAAATTCCAGGAGACATTTTTGAGAAAGCAGTAAAATGTGGTTCCCACATTTTTTGTTAATTCCCCTCTTTTTGTTTTCTATAATGAATGTTTCTTTGATCTTCTTGTAGGAGGAAGAGTGTTAGCATTACTTCAGTGTGGGTGAGCTGAGAAAATAAAGCAATCAATGTTTTGACTAGAAAAAAAAAAACACAAAGCAATATTATGAATAAGATAAAAGAAAAAAAATAACAGTATTTTAGATTTACAGATGATAACCAGTTCTTCAGGTTGAGCTGTGTGGAAAACTTGTTAGATCAGCAGACATGCCAATTAAATCCATCAAACAGTCTCATATCAATCCAGGCTTGAGTGCATAGTGGACTGATGGTGTAGGGTGAGACATTCCAGATGTTAAGTTTCCTGAGAAACTGGCAGTAAACACAAAAAAGTGGTCTGATGTTTAAAGGTAAGGATTTGAGATCCTGTTTTGGGGGGTTCATATAAAATATTATTTGTATACCAATGAATGTTGATATAAGAACATATCTGTGCATTTGTAACCTGTAGTGTCGAAGACCTGGGTTTGATCCCTGGGTTGGGAAGATCCGTTGGAGAAGGGAAAGGCTACCCACTGCAGTATTCTGGCCTGGAGAATTCCATGGATTGCATAGTCTATGGGGTCACAAAGAGTCACAACTTTTTGCTTGAGCGATTTTCACTTCACAATGCTGACGAGTCAGCCAGAACATCTAACTAAGGGCAGGGGAGAGAGCAAGCAAGGGAAAGAGAATGAGTAAGATTAAATTCCAGGAGACATTTTTGAGAAAGCAGTAAAATGTGGTTCCCACATTTTTTGTTAATTTCCCTCTTTTTGTTTTCTATAATGAATGTTTCTTTGATCTTCTTGTAGGAGGAAGAGTGTTAGCATTACTTCAGTGTGGGTGAGCTGAGAAAATTAAGCAATCAATGTTTTGACTAGAAAAAAAAAACACAAAGCAATATTATGAATAAGATAAAAGAAAAAAAATAACAGTATTTTAGGTTTAGAGATGATAACCAGTTCTTCAGGTTGAGCTGTGTGGAAAACTTGTTAGATCAGCAGACATGCCAATTAAATCCATCAAACAGTCTCATATCAATTCAGGCTAGAGTGCATAGTGGACTGATGGTGTAGGGTGAGACATTCCAGATGTTAAGTTTCCTGAGAAACTGCAGTAAACACAAAAAAGTGGTCTGATGTTTAAAGGTAAGGATTTGAGATCTTGTTTTGGGGGGTTCTTATAAAATATTATTTGTATACCAATGAATGTTGATATAAGAACATATCTGTGCATTTGTTGAATTAGTTATGCAGAAGGGTAGCTGTGAACCATCAATGGTCCAGTGAGAATCTGAGGTGTTCACAGGTAAAGGAGATGGATGAGATAGCCATTCTTCCCCAGTAATGGTGGAGTAACTGGTAGAAATAGGAATTTATGGATCTTCCCATGTGTCAATAGAGAACACAGCAGGGTTCATTAGGTGAGACCAGTATGTATAGTCATTGTTAGGCAGTGTATAAGCAGGGACTCTACTGAAAAACAGAAGTGAAAAACTAACCTGAAACCACCATACCTTGTGGGCAGAGTTGGCACTTATAGTGGCTAGAAGGGAAATCATCATAGTTTCAGGAGTAATAGGTGTGCCGGTACTAACAAGAGCTATGTCAGCTCTTGAAGTAAGATATTTAATATCACCCCCATGCAATATCAATGACTTTTGGATAATTATTCCTCAGTCTTCAGAAGAGGCATTCCAGGAGGACTCATCTGGGTGGGCAATAGACAAAATTCCAGTAAAGCATCCTGAAGTCCTTGGTGCCAACTCATGACAAAATTTCAAACAACAGGAAGGGATCCAAAGTGGACCTGATGAAGACAAAACAGCAGCATATCCCCTTCTCCATGTTAATAATTTAACAAGTCTGTGCCAAATATGAGAGGGTGGTTGTTTAAAAAGTACCAGAAGGTATTCCTGTGAATATGGAAGAGCAAAATGTCTAGCAGCAGGTGACTGTGAAGAATTTTTGGAAATTAACAAGTGATTAAGAGTGAATAAGGCAATATATAATCATTCCCTAGGAGGGGCTAATTCTTTCCTTTTCCGTTTATTTAAAAATAATTTCAGTAGCTCATTTTCACATTCAATAATGGCTTATGCAGTCGGGCTGTGAGGAACACATGTGATGTGTTTAATAGCCCATAGATGAAAGAAATCCCGAAATTTGTGAGATGTATATGCTGGAGCATTATCATTTTTAAAGGTTTTGAAGATGTCCTAGAATAGCAAAACATTCAAGAAGGTGAATTGCACATGACATGCTTGTTCTCCTCCTTGTGCTGCTGCTGCTGGTGGTGGTGCTAAGTCGCTTCAGCCGTGTCCGATTCTGTGCGACCCCACAAGACAAGACGGCAGCCCACCAGGCTCTCCTATCCCTGGGGTTCTCCAGGCAAGAACACTGGAGTGGGTTGCCATTTCCTTCTCCGATGCATGAAAGTGAAAAGTGAAAGTGAAGTTGCTCAGTCGTGTCCGACTCAGCGACCCCACAAGACAGCAGCCCACCAGGTTCCTCCGTCCATGGGATTTTCTAGGCAGGAGTACTGGAGTGGGGTGCCATTGCCTTCTCCCCCTCCTTGTGCAGCAGCCCATAAAAAGACTGGAAATGTATCAATAGTTATAAGTACAAAGCAAAATGGTTTAAATGAAGGATGATGAAATGAGTCACATCCATTTGCCATAACTCATTATAAGAAAGATTGCAAGGGTTAACGCCAGATGTAGAGAGAGAAGGAGTTAATAATTGACATGTGTGACAGGTNGGGTATGAGGAGAAGGGGACAACAGAGGATGAGATAGTTGAATGGCATCACCGACTCAATGGACATGAGTTTGAGCAAGCTCCAGGAGTTGGTGATGGACAGGGAGGCCTGGCATACTGCAGCCCATGGGGTCACAAAGAGTCTGACATGACTGAGGGACTGAACTGAAGTGAAACAATGATCCTATAAGGCAAAGAGGTGAGTCAGCTTGTTGATCCCCAAAAGCGAATGAGCTCTAGTAGTTGTGTGTGTCCTTGAATATGAGCTATAAAAAAAGGATGCTGTCATTTAGTTAAAAGAGTTTGAATAGAAACAAAGAGAAAGAGTAATGGTTTATCTATTGAGGTATTTAAAATAGAATCGGGTAGTTGTTGAATTATATTAACAACACAAAAGGAATCTGTTAAGAGATTAAAGGAAGTTTGAGAGAAGGTTTGTAAAGCAAGCAAGACAGCAGCTAATTCAGAAGCTGTGGGGAAGCTTGGGGGCTGGTAAAGGAAAAAGTTCCATCCTGAGGTTTCCTTCCAGGTTACTATCCCTTGAGTTTGATTGTCATTAGGAATAGGATGTTTAGAGATAACAGGGTGTAAAGAAAAAGGCATGAATTGTAAAATAGAAATTCTTTTATCCATCAGCAATCTGTAAATACATTTCCCTGTACAATCTGATATGGCAATTTGAAATTGTTCCTTAGTTTGATATGACTCCACATTTTCCTTAGGTAATCCCATATAAATTGTGGATCTGAGTCAGTAAGGCGACAGAGACATAAGCATCCTTGCTGTAGTAAATGTTTTGCCTGCAGATAGGGAAGAGCATGGTATTTTGGTTGATTAGGATTGAAGGAGTCTTTTGGGCCTAGAAAAGAGAACAACAGTCTCAAAGGCCCCTCGCTGAATCATCTAACTTCGGAGAAAACAAAGTATAACTTTAGTTCCACGCTGATGCTCCAGGCCAGTTGCATCCATCTGGGATTTATCACCCCCTGTCCAGAAACCACCCCCTACACCCACGCAGAAGACTTATCACCCCCTGCCAAACTACAAATGTCATCTCAACAAAAGAATACTCAAAATATCCCACCTGATTGACGTTTCCCTTATCACTGCCACAAACCTCCCTATAAGTATGAAGCCTCCCTGTTCCCTCTTGGCGCTCCGCCTGGTCGTTAGGCCGCCTGTCGCCCCTCCTTGCCTAAATAAAGGCAACCTACTTCTGTTGAGGTCCTCTTTCCTTTTCTGCCTCGCTGGAACTATGCCTTACAAGGATAATGTAGTCATTCAGTGATTTTTACCTCTTTAGGTATGATTAGGGCAAGTCTTGTTGTAAGAGTATGTTGTGTAGGAAGAAGAATCAGTGAAAAATGAAGTGAAGGAACATGCCCGTCAAGGAAATGTTTAACATAAGCAGTGCTGATTGTTATAATAAAGCATAATGTTGGGGAGAAAAACAGTGGTGTGAGGTAGGGTCTTCATTTCTCAGCAATAATTGAAAAAAAGAAGTATTACATATGTTGGGATGCCTAAACTAGGTCATATCCAATTTAAATGACCCAACAATTGCTATAAAGAATGAAGTGTTAATGGTTCTAGAACATTGCAAGAAAATCATAAATGAGTAATTGTTTTTATAAAATTTGAAAGCCAAGATATTTCCACAGGAGTATTTGTTGGATTTTCTCTGGAGCTATTATCAACCCCTGTGAATCCAAATCTGTAATGAAATGAAAATTCCTGTTAATTTTTGTGGCAAAGAGTGAGATAAAATAATATCATCCATATAATGATAAATATAGACATTGGGAAATTGTCATAATGGTTGCACAGTTAGACCCTTGGAAGAAATGTCATGCATTTTTAGAATTAATGTGGGTCTACTGCTGCTGCTGCTAAATCACTTCAGTCGTGTCCAACAGTATGACCCCATAGACGGCAGCCCACCAGGCTCTCCTATCCCTGGGGTTCTCCAGGCAAGAACACTGGAGTGGGTTGCCATTTCCTTCTCCAATGCATGAAAGTGAAAAGTGAAAGTGAAGTCGTTCAGTCGTGTCTGACTCCGCGCGACCCCACAGACTGTAGCCTACCAGGTTCCTCCATCCATGGGATTGTCCAGGCAAGAGTACTGGAGTGGGTTGCCATTTCCGTTTCCATAATGTGGGGCATTTAGAGTCAATTAGCATAGTCCAAAGTTGCATTCATAGATTCAAAACCTCCTTTCCTAATTTCTATCTCTGCTGGGGCACAAAATAAGGCAAGAATAATAATTGTGCAAGTGTTGTCCCATTCTCTACTGTTTGATAAAAGTATGTGAGGGAGCCATAATTTGAATATTGCCTGTGTAATCAGAATCAATTACCCCTAGTAAAATATGAATACCTTTCATAGTTATGTTCAAGTGGCATAAAATAATTCTGACTATACCTTTAGGTAAAGGGCTATCAGCTTCCATAGGAATACATTTAATTTCACCGATAATATCAAAAGTACAACTTTCAGTAATAACAAGGTCCAATCCTGCAGTGCTCATTGTGGCAGTGTTTAAATCTAAGATTAGTTTTCATTTTGAGCCGTCTTGGTGTTCAGAAGGGGATTGTTTGGATTCCATTCTGGGGTTTTCACATCCAAAGTCTGTATTTTGCTTGTCCTCTATTCCTGATGCAGAGCCTGGGTTTGACCCCACCAGTGGTTTCCTGACAGAAGCTGTCCCTTATTATCAAATTTGGAATGGCATTGATTAGCCAAA